CAAGAATTTTCATCTCTGACAAGTTCCCAGATGATGCTGCAGCTACACTCTGAGAACTTGGCTCTGAGAAGCCAACAGACCAATCACAGCCCAGTGGTCCCAAACTGTGCTGCAGTTTGGAATTACCCAGGGATCTTGAAAACATTTGCTGATGCTTAGCTCCCATGCCCACACATTCTAGTTAACTGCTTTAGGGTGCAACCTGGGCATTGTTGTTTTTAAAAGCTCCCGGGTAACCCTCACACACAGCAAAGTTAGGAACCACTGATCTAGGTTCATTTCTCCAATACTCTGATCCTCATCACTGCCGTCCTTTTCAGCTGCTCATTACTGGGGCCACAAGTGGAATCTGTCATCAGTTGGCACTGTTCACAGCTCCTCTTCCCAACCTTCTCTTTCCCACCATCTCCCAACACCTGTTCTAGAACTTCTCAAATTTCTACTTATCTTCTCCTTTTTCATTCATTCTTCATTTCCTTCTCTACTCAACCAGACTCTATGGCACAATAATGGCACCTGTCTCCTGCCCACAATGAGCCACGATTCCCTTGTTCTTTCTTTGATCATATCTACCAGGGAGAATGTGAGAAGTATCTAAAGCAAACTTCAGGCATGGTAATCCAGAGATGCTTCATGACACTTGGCCTTTATTACCATGAAAAATAACTGGTCAGTTTCTTCAATGATTTTTTAAGTTATAATATTTATGTACACTGAAAGAAAGTAGGAAACACCTCAGAAGAAAGCATAAAAAAGAAAATAGCAATCACCTTAATTTCATTTAATTCAGAACACACCTCTGTTACAATTTTGCAGGGATGTGTTCTTTTCTTCCATGCACATTCTTACCTAGTCAAGAACATGCTATATAGGTAAACTTATATCTTAACTTCCCACTTAACCATGTAACATAAATATATTTAATATTATTGAAACTTTGTAAATATTTTAATGACAGCAAAAAATTCCATCATTTGGATACCATATCATTTATTTAACTGATCCCATACCAGTGGAAATGGGGGAGGAGATTTTCCTATTTTATAATTTTTATGGTGACACAATGTATGTATTTGTACAAACTTGGGTTCTGTCAATGATTTACCATAAATCCCAGGAAAGAAAAATCATGAATTAAACAGTCTGAAAAGTTTAGACTCATTACAATTGGCCAAAATCTTTCTAAAAGATCTTCTCCTGATTTATATCATCAGTTTAAGGAATGCAAATTGTTTCTCCTCTTGCCCAGCATTTGGTGTACTACTCCGTGCCACTGAGGATTTTTGGTATAAAATGACATGATCAAATTTGTATTTCTAAAATTGTATAGTGGAGGCTGAATCAAATGGGCTGAATCGGAACTTATAGTATTGACCTTGGTGTTTCTCCTTTGCTTCCATAGTCTCCCTCCTCTGCTTTGCCATACCTTATCTTCTCTCTTTCCTGGAGAGTTTATATTAAGTGTTGTACACAAAACACTGAGCAAAGCTTTCTTACCAAAGAATAATAAGAACCATGTTGAAGGGCCTAGCTCCATGGTTGTCTAAGCTTGGCCTGGAGACCCTTTTCTCTAGCTCTGGCCAAAAACAGTCTCTGGACAGTAATTCTCCTTAGGGAAAAAAAAATTTAAATATATATTTTCTAATGAAATTGCCAAATAGGATTATTACTAAATTAATTTTTTCTCCAACCTGCACTTGTCCAGCCCCACACATGACCATTATTCCTATTCCTAGAATATCCTCCTTCTTTCCTCTTCTCAACCCAGCAAACTACCTTGGCATTCAGCCTTCAACATCTTTTTTAAATATCTGTGACACCTACATTCTATACCTTGTCCAGTCGTAATCAGCCACTTGGGCTTCCTTGTTCCCACAATTCAATTATGGCATTTTTACACCTAATTCTATTTCTCTTTCTTGGCCAAGAATCCTTCAAAAGGAGAACATTTTGTATCACCAGTTCTTAACATAGTTTCTGGAACTTGGTTGATATTTTACAACTGTTGAATGAATGAGTGAGTGAATGAATTTCTGATACTAAGGTATATCTAAATTAAACACTAACAAGATGAGTAGTATAAAGACAATATGGAAAGGATGTAAATTGCCAAAATCATATTCAGAATTATTGGTGCCTATGGGAAAAAAGACACCTGGTATACCAGCTGTTTCAACCCTGGATTCTGGGTCCTAACACTAACTGTAGTGTGCCTAGACACTAACTCCATTCTGTTCCCTTTTTTTTTTTTTTGGTACTGGGCATTGAAACCAGGAGGGCTTAATCACTGAGCAGCATGTCCACATCCACATTTTTTTGAAACAAAGCCTTCCTAAGTTGCTGAGGCTAGCTTTGAACTTGTGATCCTCCAACCTGAACCTCTAGAGTTGCTGGCATTAGAGGCGTGTGCCACCACGCCTGGCCTTCTTTCTTTCTTTCTTGGCATTAGGAATCCAACCCAGGGCCTCATACATGCTAGACAAGCACTCTACCACTGAACTACATCCATACCCACCCTGTTCTTTTCATTTTAACACCAAAGTTAATGTGCACCTAAATATCACTGTGATAAAGAAAGTAAGAGGATTAGGTGATGCCAGAATTTCCAAAACTATATTGCAAACAAACAAAAATTTACTACCATGAGCTATGTATAGGTAGCACATAAAAAGAAGGGTCTTGTTATTTAGTAAGTTTGGAAAACAAAGTTAAATGGGTTTAACTAACAATTTCTTTGTAAAAAGTTGAAAGTAGGATCAGCTAGGCAATAGAAAGAAGGATTAGAGCAATTGGATCTTGCTTCACCCAGCAGACCAAAGTCTTTCTTGCCTCTTTATGCCAGGGAAGATTCTCAAAGGCAGAGTGGGGGAAAATATAGCAAGATCCTAGCCCCTTCCCCTGAGTTCTCTCTTGGGTCACACATCTGTATAAGCCTCTGCCCCCACCCACCCACTCCTGCTGATGAGCTCAGCCTTCATTACTTCTCCTCTTGAGCTAGGAAGCAAGGTAATGTGTGGGAAGTGAGAGCTACAAGGTAATGTGTGGGAAGTGATAACAACTTTAAAGCCATTCAACAGGAAAATTTGTTAAAAGACCAAGACATTGTAAAGCTGAAATGCTTGAGTCTATTAAGTCCCCTGCTTCTTAGAACATTTTGTTACCACGGAATGTTTCAAGGAGGGAAAACATTGAACTATCACAGCACTGTCAGATACCAAATGCTGGTACAAAGAGCAGCATTTTTAAGACATCTGTCTCTGCCACTAGAGAAACTTCTAAAAAGTTCTCCTTCTCTCCTACCCCAACATAACTCCCCCACCCTCCTCACCCCTAGAAGCACTCTATTCATTTCTTTCTTCCTCCTGCCTCCTCCCCTTCCTGCCTCATCCCCCTCCTCTCTCCCCCCACCTCATCCACTGCCCATGTTGTTTTCACAGACACTATTAGATTAGCACAGTAGGCTAAGACTATCCAATGGTTATTCTACCCTCTTTGGTAAGAAGGGAACTAATTAAGTGACTAGAGGTTTAGACATTCATTGTTTATTAGCTCCAAACTCCTTCAGAGAGCCTGGAGCATTCTCCTGAACAAACATTGCCCTTTTATGGCTTCTTGTCCCAAATCCAAATGAGATGGAGAGCTTAAGGAGACAGCATCTTTTCATGGAGGTGTGGTAAGGAGTAATTGGGAAGGCGAGTGGAGTGTCGATGGATATAGAGGAGAAAGCTAAGCGCCTGTCTCAGAAAGACTACTATAGTTTGTGTATCTGCTGGCAGCTGATGTCCATTAGTGATCATCAGGAGTTTAAACTGTGCAATGCTGACACATCTGTGGTCAGCCCCCTGCTTTGTTTAGCTGTCTTCATTAGAAATACATCCATCAAGACCATGTTTTTTAAACAATAGTTAGTCTTCCAAACAAAAGAATAAAGACCAACCCAAATATCTCCTCTCCAATCTTAAACACTGTTCCACTTATCAGAAGGCACTTCAGAGGACAGAAACCATCCGTTCAATAAACAAAAGCCTCAAGGTAGACACAGTTTTCTGGTCTGTGAATATTAATAGCCGATGGGTGGTGAGTTACAACCTGTGAGAAAGGTACTTTTACCTGGGTAGGCAAAGGAATAGAAGCTTTTTAAAACCCTGCTTTTTAATTTTGTTTCTGTTTTAAATACATAAAAGTTGCATTGTAAAGTGAGTCAATATCAATATCCAACATCAGTCCTGTCATCGCTTTCGCAAGGGAAATTAGGAAGCAAAATCCAAGCCTCAGGAACTGTGACAAAATGGACCACTTCCAGATTCTGAATCAGAAGCAACTGCCACCACCACAGGAGGCCACTGATCCTGGGTGGCTCTGAGCCTGAGACTTGGGTTTTCTACCCCTCCTTTTCACCCTGGGTCCACAGTAATCTGGTATAGGTGAAATATTCTTTTCCTTGGCTTGGATTAGGTACCTGGTGTCCTCAAAGAGGTCACTGATTTTCCTAAGGATGTCCAAGAAGGTTTGGCTCATGGGTGGCTTACCACAGGCCAAATTTGAGGTTAATTAACCATCACCCCTTGTCAAGAAGGCCAAGATGTTGTTCAGACATTAAGAAAAGAGTAGATAATGGCCTTACCAACATTTCTTCTCTCCTGGTCCCAAGTCAATGCGCCTTTTTCTGCTGGGGGTGGCGTTGAAGATTATCTCAGAAATAGCTGGTTCATCCTCTATGTCACTCATCATTTGAAGAGGCCTCATGATACACCAACCTATTCACTGGATGCAAATACGTGTTCTGTATCCAAACCTCTTTACACTAGAACTGGGCTTTTGCTTATGAAAGGGTACATTTATTGACCTTTGGAGAAAGTGGAGCAAGTATAAGAAAGCCACTTGGTAGAGATGAAGGGATGCTGACAGATCTGGGTTGGCCATCTAGGGACCTTCTGGCTTGAGCCAGTCTGAGAAACAAACAGATGCATTTGTCCTGCTTTTGCTATCTCACCCTGCAGACCTCAGTGACCAGCTCCTTGAAGTGGTGGGGCTTGAGGGAGCCATGGAGATGGGGCAGATCTACACCGGCCTGAAGAGTGCGGGCAGGAGGTTGGCCCAGTGTTCCTCTGTCACCATCAGGTACGCTCCTTGTCACCCTACGGCCTCCAAGTCTCCTCATCTTTCTAAACATTCTTGCACATAATAATGAGGAAGCTATTTCTGGATTTCAGAGCAGGGAAAGTGGAGGACAGAAGCTTGGTTCTGTTTTTAAAGAATATCTTTGTAGACCATTCTCCATACAGGATAGGAGGCTACCATCCAAGACAGCACCTAGAGGGTTCACCACAAAACCAGTTGGCTGTTTTCTTAAAATGTCCTGGTGAAATTCTCTAAACAGGAGTACAAGATTATGAAGTCCAAAGAACCAGAGGTCCAATTCTTTACCTTTTTTATCTTTACAAATTAAAATGTTAGATTTATACCAGGAGGCACACTGATAAAAACCAGGTGCCCTGCTCTGTTCTGCTGTGTTGGTTAGTGGCCTTGGAAATGCTATTTCCTCTACACCTCTGCACGTGAAGCCATCACCATCAGCAAACTGGTCATAATTGACTAAGAAGATAACAGCTTTTCAGGGTATGGGCCACTCTGCCTGCCACTGCAGGGTCTGGAAGATATGGGGTCTACTAGAAGGGATCCTCTGATTTCAGTTACCTCTGTTTGATCAAAGCAACTAGTCACATTTTTTCCTGATATTTCTTCCCCATCTGATTATTTCAGAAGTCTTTGTTTCTTTCCTTTTTTCACTCACTTGTTACAATCAGATCTATTAGTATTGCCCAGGCATGTCCTAGAGGGGTCACAGCACGCAGGGTTTCCCAAAGGTCTTTGATTTTTTTTCTCCCAGAACCCCTTGGGCGAGTGTCATCAGAGCACATTTGGGGGAACTCTGATGGTGGCCCTACCTTGAATCTCTCAGCTACTTCCCTGATTTTCTTAGCTGAGGGTCTGTTCCATTTTCCCCTTTTCTTTATTTTTAATATTTATTTTTTTAGGTGTAGATGGACACAACACAATGCCTTTATTTTTATGTGGTACTGAGGATCGAACCTGGATCCCGCCCATGCTAGGCTAGCACTCTACCACTGAGCCACAACCCCGCCCCACACTTTCCCCTTTTCTTCATGTTTATCTTTGTCTTCCCTTTCTGTTACTTTTGAGCTGTTGTCCTATTGGGCACCCTGTTTTCCAGACTAATCTCTCTAGCCCTGTCCACTCTCCGGGTCTCTAATACTGAGTGGGTCCAGTCTGTCAACTCATCGAGGTCATGACTTATGTAGACCACTGAGAATACTTGATCCCTGGAGAATAAAAAAGTGTGAAGGTTTTCTTCATATTTAGTAGATCTATTTCCAGATAGAAACAGAGAGGGCAAGACAGGAGACCCCATCCTCCTACGCATTTCCCAGCTCCCCTCTTAAACCCTAAGTGCCAAAATGCCACTTTTTCCTCAGATTATTTTGGGGAGGGGTGGCAAACAGGGGCACCAGGGATGGAACTCGGGGCACTTGACCACTGAGTCACATCCCCAGCCCTATTTTATACCTTATTTAGAGACAGGGTCTCACTGAGTTGCTTAATGCTTCGCTTTTGCTGAGGCTGGCTTTGAATTCACAATCTTCCTGTCTCAGCCTCTTGAACCACTGGGGTTACAGGCTAACTATTTGTTTTTACTATTATATTTATTGTTTTTATTATTAAATATCCTCAAGGCCAGTCAGAGAGTCATTACACCAAAATGCCTTTGCCCCTCTCATTTCCTAATTTCAAAAACAAGACAGATGCCAAATCCAGGTGAGGGCTTCCTAGAGAGTGGGGGTTATCTGATCTCATCACCCCAACCAATGGCCTCCAAAGGGCCACCTTTCCTCCCAAAGGTAATGGAGTTTGAGTTCAGAGCCTTACAGGATAAGTGAGAGGATCTCATATCTGTCTTTCAAGAATCACCAGGCATGGTGGTATATGCCTCTAATCCCAGCAGCTCAGGAGGCTGAGACAGGAGGATCTCAAGTTCAAAGCCAGCCTCAGCAAAGCAACTCAGTGAGACCCTGTCTCTAAATAAAATACAAAATAGGGCTGGAGATGTGGCTCAGTGACCGAGGGTCCCTGAGTTAAATCCCTGGAACCCACCCCCACAAAATAAAAAAAAATCTATATACCAAAAAAGCCTTGTGCTAAGCAAGAAAGCAACACTCCCCCTAACCCCCACCCCCATCTACCTCTATCCTCTCTGTACTTCTATCCTTGGGAACTGTATTCCTGGATGCCTTTGTTCCAGTTAAGCCAGATCCACATTCCATGGCAACCCCAGGTCATACTGTTGTTCAGGATCAAATACAAGGCAGTATACACTCAGGCCTGAGCTGTGTCCTGTGCAGCTTGGAGACGTTACCTCATGGACATTATGCAACCACTCACTCAGCATAGAAACCAGGCCTTTCCATTTCCAGAGCCGGGTTTTTTGGCATGCAGTGCTGGCCCTCTGGTTAACTGCTGGACTTAGGAGGGTCTACTACCTAGCATTGGTTCTGCTCTGTTTCTGGCCACTGTTTCCCAGACTTCTGTGGCTTTTATTGCTCATGCATGTCAGTGTTTCTCAAAGTGGGTTCCTATGACCAAGGCAACACAATCACCCACTAGTGCTTCTAAAAGTGAGGACCTCCTCACCTGGCCCCAGACCTGCCAAAAAAGTCCCTGAGTGGAGCTCAGGGTTCCATTTTAACAAGTTGCTTCAGAGAGTCTTAGAAAACCACTGATAGGTGGACCAATAAAGGTCTTCCCACTTCTTTTTCCCCTATGGGAACCACACTGATTCTCCAGCTCTGAGAAGCTCACTGTGTTATCTTGGTTTTCGGGATTCTAGGACTAACAAGCTGCTGCCCATGCAAGTGGATGGAGAGCCCTGGATGCAGCCATGTTGCACGGTGAGTTTTGCCAGTCTTGGAGACAGGGGTGTGAGCTTGATTTTTGACCCCCATTTGGGCAATGACTTGATATGAAATCACTGCATCTCAGAGATGAGGGGAATTTGAAAGACTTAGTGTAGTCCTTTTCCACTTTATTCACCCATCCACTCATCACCTGCCAAACATTTACTGAATGCCTGCTGTGCACCAGGCACTGTGAGGCACCAGATACAAAACAGAACAAGATGCAGACCCATCTCCAAGAAGGTTACAGATCTACGTGACAAATCTTGAGGCTTCACCCATGGTACCTTGACAGCCTCAGCTTGAACTGTCCCAGTGGCAGGGAACTTACCTGGGGATTGTCCTGCTGGCAGGCAAGTCTGATTGTTAGAAAGACTCTTAGGTAGAAGCCCAATCTGCACTCTTGCCCTGGGACCTTCCCTCAATCTCTGTGACCAGTGGGGAGAATCCTCACAGTGACAGTGCACAGGTGTGCTTCCCCACAGGTGCACCTACCATCTGAGGACCTTCCTGGAAACTCCACCAAAAGGTTACCTGCAAGTTACCTACTTTGTTTATGGCATGGTCACCTAACTCCTAGCAGAGTGCCTGATATGTAATAGCTGCACAATAATGCATTGAATGATCAATAAAGGGCACCACAAATGAACAGAGGGAGCAGCCCCCTTCCCTGGCTGTACACCCCCCCCCCAGCTCTCCATGCAGCACTTCTGCATGAGCCAGGCCTCCTTCCTTCTTGGTTCATTCTCCACTGGAGACTGTTGGAAATTCCATGGGGGAAGAGAAACCATTATCCCGGTCTTCAGGGCCTCTGTAGGGCTATTATTAACCTCAGTATGATCACAAATATGCAACTCTCACGAAAGACAAAACATGTGTTTCTAAGCTTCCTCAGATACCTTGGTAACCCCTTTTGAGCCCTTCAGAACATTGGGTTGTCGTCTTCTTTTAGAGAGAGGGTTTTCATGAGCCAACTGAGAAGAAATAGCATCTCCTGGAAAGGTTTAAAATAGAAATTTCTACAAAAATAGAACGTTCTTTGCACAATCTTGCCTCAGTCTTATGAAGACTAACAAAAAAGATGAAAACACATAGCAAAAACTAATAATAGCAATAATAGCATCCCACCTTGCTGGAATGGAAAGGATAGAGGGAATTTTACTATTTATCATTATGATGGAGTTGAGTTTTTTGTTGTTGTTGTTTTGTTTTGTTTTTTTTTTTTTTTTTTGGTGGTGCTGGGGATTGAACCCAGGGCCTGTGCATGCGAAGCAAGCACTCTACCAACTGAACTATATCCCTAGCCCTGGAGTTAAGTTTAAAACAATTTATTCAAGCTTTTCCTGATTCCTCATGAAGAAAAAAGAAGGAAAGAAAAACAAAGAAGAAATCAAACCCTCTCCCACTTGGTTCAACGATATCTGAAAACTGAGTTGTCATTCCTCTGAATCCAAGCACTGTTTTTTTGTTTTTGTTTTGTTTTTTAATGGCCAAACACGTCTCCCATCCCCATCCCAATCCCCGCGCTCCCTCCATGCCACTTTTAACCCTTGAGCAAGCACAGCTTACTGTGAAAACAATCGTGACTCTGTGATGGTATGGTGTGAAGTCCAGAAATCAATGTGGGAAAACATGTTAGTCTGCTCCAGTGGCCCCAGCAGAATACCATGAACAGGTGCGTTAAATGACAAAAATGTATTTTCTCATAGTTATGGAGTTTGGAAAGCCAAGGTTAAGTTACAGGCAGGTAACTTTCTGACTTGCAGACTCCCTGACTTGCAGCAGCTGCCTGTATCTTGATACAACCTTTCCTCTGTGTGTACTCTGTCATCTCTTCCTCTTCTCATAAGGACACCAGTTTTATTGGATTGGGGCCCCATCCTTGTGACCTCATTTAACATTAGTTACCTGCTTAAAGGCCTTGTGTACAAATATAGTTACGCTGGGGGTGAGAGCTTCAACATTGTAATTTGAGGGGGACACAGTTGAGTTCATAACAAAGGATAACAAAGTCATTCTGAAAATTGAAAGGTTCAAACAAATGCATCCCTTGTTGAAACGTTTTCTTGAAGGCACACACCAGCAAAGAAGTGATTCAAAATTAAAAGTTTAACATGAGAACATCACAGCACAAAAGAAATTTTGGCTCTTTGAAACAGGTTAAGTTGAAATTAAGTCTAAAAAGCAAATATGGTCATGCTCATGAATGCAGATAGCAAAACTCATTCCTCAAAGAGAAGATGCATAATGTAAACATTAATAACCTGCATCCCAAACCTAGGGTTATAGTAAATAAAAGTACATGGGTGACATTGTTAAAAGGACAGTAAAAATATGCTTAATTTCTCATTGTCTCTTTTTACTTTGATAATTATATAAATCAGAAAGAAAATTTAATAACTAGACATGCACTAATGAAACTAAAAACAGAACATATACCTTTCAAAGCTGAGAGAATTTAAAATATAAAAGCCTTATCAATATAGCAAAACATAGAAACAAGATAACAAACATTTAAATTTTTTTGAAGTAAGATGAAAGAGATTAAGATTAAATATATCAATATTGATTTTTTTAAAAAAAGGTTAAGGTCCCCTATTAATAAACTAATATCTTTACTTTGGGTTGAAAATTAACATCCAAGTCAAATACCGTAGTACGCACCTGTAATCCCCATGATTCTGGAGGCCAAGGCAGGAAGATTGAAAGTTCTAGGCCAGCCTCAGCAACTTAGCAATTCCCTGTCTCAAAATAAAATACAAAAAGGGTAGTGGATGTAGCTCAGTGGTGAAGTGCTTGTCCAACATGTAAAAAGCTCTGGGTTCAACCCCCAGTACCACAATAAAATAAAATAAAATCCAAATGAATTTCCCTACAACAGATATACCTAAAACAAAAGGATACACACACACACACACACACACACACACATCCTTTATCAAGTGTAGAGAAATTAAATATAAGAACTATTGATGTTTCCAACATGCCAAAAACACTAAATGGAATAACAAAAGACATTATTTATTTGATTAAAAAATACATTGAAAAAAAATTTGGGCAGGGTGCTGTAAGGCTATAATCACAGCTACTCAGGAAGCTGAGGTGAGAGAATCACTTGAGCCCAGAAGTTTGAGAACATCATGAGAAACATAATGAGAGCCTTTCTCAAAACAAAGAAACTCATTTACCAGATATAGTGGTCCTAAAATCTTAGATATTTAACCACAGAATTAAAATATATGCTGCTAAGAAAAAAGATATAAGGAGAAATTGATAGCAATAAAGTTATTAAGAGAATTTAAAACATTTGTTTGTCTCTAAGTTAAAATAGCTAAAATAAGTAATACATAATTTGAATAACTCTGTAACCTATAATTTAAATGACATATTTTTTCAAGGATAGATAGACTATTTGCCAAATAGATCACAAACTAGTTTACCAGCATCCCACCCCCCCTCGCCCCCAAAAAACTATGAAATCCAGGTTCAGAAATTATGAAGGTCATTTTCTTTAATCAAAAAGCAATAAAGCTGGAGATTACTAATAGAGGATTAAATGAATAAACAAAAATCCAGTCTTGCGGAAACTTAAAATTCTTCTAAAGAACAATTTTCGATCGGATTTCATTATTGACTATCAAAAAAATTATAAAAATAAGAAGGCTATTGTTCAAACCTTATAGAACATAGCCTAAACTATATTTGGTAAATTCAAAGCCTCATCTACTTTTATCATATAAAAAGAAAAAATATGATAAATAGTCCCCAAATTAGAATAACAATAATAAAACAAAATTAAGAAAAGCAGAAGAAAGAAAATGACAAAAATGGAAATTAAATAATTTTAAAAATAGGAAAACCAACCGGGTGCTGGAACACACACCTTGTAATCCCAGCAATTTGGGAGGCCAACACAGGAGGATCACAAGTTCAAAGCCAGCCTCAGCAACTAAGTGAGGTCCTAAGAAACTTAGCAAGACCCTATCTCTAAATAAAATATAAAAAGGGCTGGGGATATGGCTCAGTGGTTGAGTGCCCCTATGTTCAATCCCTGTTATGGGAAAAAAGAAAAGAAAGCCTAGAACTAACTCCTTAAACATGTCAAACGTTTGAAAATCTAATTTTTAAAAAAGAAAAATCAGAGAGCAGTGATATTCAAATGTAAAAAATAAATAATCTAACTATATAAAATCTATATAAAATAAATAATCTAACTATATAAAATCTAACTATAAATGGGGCAATGGCTCTATTTTAAAATAATGTATATAATCATCCTTTTTTGGCACTAGGGATTGAACACGGGGTGCTCAACCACTGAGCCCTTTTTTATATTTTATTTAGAAACATGGTGTCACTAAGTTGATTAGGGCCTCACTAAATTGCTGAGGCTGGCTTTGAACTTGTGATCCTCCTGCCTCAGCCTCCCAAGTCACTGACATTACAGGCATGCGCCACCAGCTAATCACCTTAATTCTAATGACTATGAACATCTTAACAAAATGAAGGAAAATATTGGTAACCATTAAAAAATGGGAAATGCTTTCAAAGAATTACATATAAAATGATCTCAAATGGCCATACTGCTGAACTCCATTAGGAAATATGTATATTTAGGTAAAGTATCCCAAAGTACATACAAAGACAGAAAGCTATCCATTCCATTGTATGAAATGGAGACAGATACAATCACCTAACAAAAATTATATTTAAAAACAGAAAACTACAGACAAATCTCAGGTATGAATGTGATATAAAAATGTTAGTACACATGTTGATAGATAGAATTGAACAATATTTTAAAAGAATCATTCGCCCCTCAGAGCATATTTTTTAATATGTATTTTTAAGTTGTTGATGGACCTTTATTCCAATTATTTGTTTATATGCGGTGCTGAGAATCGAACCCAGAGCCTCACACATACCACTAATCAAGCTTCTGCAATTAGACATACCCCCAACCCCCCTCAAAGCATTTTAAAGGAATAAATGAAGTCTTCTATTAGTTTAGATAGAAAAATTACATGATAATATAAATAGATGACCTGAAGCTATTCAATTATATTCAACATTTCTGATTTTTAATCTTTTAAAATCAGAGTGCCCATGGGTTTAATTCTGAGTGCCAAATATGTATATATTAGATATTTTTACCCAATATGCATTTATTTTACTTCCTAATAAAACAATAGACAAAATCATGGATAAGATATGTATGCTAATGTTGTTTGGAAGTTGTAGTCAATGCAATGGATATGAAATTGAAAAGAAATATAACTATTTGAAAAAAGAGCAAAACCTGACATCCTTTGTAGGTGATATGTGTATGTATATAGAAATCTGACAGAATCAACCAAAAACCTAACAGGATAAATTATTTTGATGAAGTTCTATAGAAAAATAGACAAAATTAATATCTTTCCTATACACTAGCAATAACCAATCCAAAGAATATAACAGAAAAAGCTTAAAATGTCATAATAGCAACAACAAAGACCTAAAGTATTAAACCGCATTGTGGAAAGTGGATGAAGACACTTATAAAACTCAACTAATAAAAAATAAATGAACATATAAACAACTTAGGCCCCTAAACAGAGATTCCAATGTTTTTAAAAAATGTATTTATTAATTCTAATTTGTTATATATGACAGCAGAATGCATGTCAATTCATAATACACATATAGAGCACAATTTTCATGTCTCTGGGGATACACAAAGTAGAGTCACATCATTCGTGTCTTCATACATGTACTTGGGGTAATGATATCCATTTCATTCCACCGTCTTTCCTACCCCCTGCCCCCACTCTTTCCCTTCCTCCACTTTGCCCTATCTAAAGTTCCTCCATTCCTCCAACATTTTTTTAACTTGACAGATCCTAAGGCATTTGATAAAAGAACTTCAAGAAAAGACTTTTAGTAAAATATTAAAATAATTATAAAGTCATAATAATTTGAATAATATACTCTTGTTACTAGATTGTGTAGGGAAATTAATAATATAGAAGAAACTCTAAGAAGTCCTGTATATATAAAACCAATGAAGGAAAAATAAAGATAATGGAACTAATTAGAAGGGAATGACTGTTTCAACATATGATTTTCAAGCAATTGCCTGTTTGTGAAAATATTATGTGCCAACCTTTCACTTCAAATTATATTTGAAAAACAAAAACAAAACAAAAAAGTTTCTAAGTCACTAGCTATGGGGACAATAGATGATCATAATTATTCCATGGACATGGCTTTTGTAAAGAAAAAGTGACTTTTTTTATTATTAACCAGTTTTAAATCCTACACATCAAGAATCAGTATAAGTATTTAAAAGACTAAGAACAAAATGTTTGCAATAGCAATATCAAAGAGCAGATCAATTTCTATAAGGTATAAAGAAACTAGTGCTTAGCAGGAAAAAAAAATACTAACAATGCAGTTGTGAACTAATAATTCACAGAAGAAGTCTCATGGGCTATTAAATCAATGAAATAACATTTAGCATCCAAAGACAGAATGATTTTCAAATTAACAGTGAGGAAAGTCATGCCATGTTTCACTTACTATTTAGCAAGAAATAAGAATAGAAAGTTTCGCTTACTATTCACTTACTATTTAGTAAGAAAATATTTATTGCTATCAAGGGTGTGGTAAGACCAATACACTCAGTTAGCAAGAGTACAAACTGGTGCTGCCATTCTAAAAAGCATCCAGAGCCATGCATCAAGAACAACCATTACAAACCAGGTACAGTGGCGCTCACCTGTAATCCCAGCAGCTTGGGAAGCTGAGGCAGGAGGATGGGGAGTTCAAAGCCAGCCTCAGCAATTTAGCAAGACTATAAGCAACCTAGTGAGACCTTGTCTCAAAATAAAAAGGGCTGGTGATGTGGCTCAGTGATTAAGCATCCCTGGTTAAAACCCTAGTACTCGGAGGAGGAGGAGGAGGAGGAGGAGGAGGAAGAGGGGAGAGAGAGGAGGAGGGGAAGAAGGAGAAGAAGAAGAATCATTAAACCATTATAAATAGTAATGCATACTGAGTCTGTTCATTTACTTTCACCCTTTAAAAATTGTTCATATATTTGTAGGAATTTAGTCTAAATGTAATACAGACATTGATGTATGTAAATTTATATTTCATGCATCATAGCAAAAAAAATGGAAATTACCTAAAAGCCCAATATTCAAAGAAGAGGTTTAAATAAGCTATGTGAGATTCATCAAATGGAATTATTTTCAGCTGTTGAAAATTCATATTTAATAAATAACTCAGTGGTAGAGCACATGCTTAGTATATGAAAGCCCTGGGTTTATTCTCTAGCACCACAAAAATACATATATACATAAAGTATGAATAAAATCTTTAAAATTAAATATCCACTGATATTGGAAATGCTTACAAAATAACGTTAAATAAAAATACAATTAAGAAACTGATTTCAGTTTTATTAAAAACACATAGGCATAGAAACTAAAAGCAATATACAAAGAAGTTAATAATTATTACCTCTGATTTTTAAACTTTTTCCATATTTCCTAAAGTCTTTAAAAAATCTGTTTATACATAGAAATATATGGACATAAAGTATATATTTATTAAGACAATTTGTCTTACAATTGCAGTACTGTAAGATTATCTCTTCACTATTATCTCTTCACCATCCCAGTTAGGTGGCATAGTTTGAGTCTCAAATATAGAATCTCTTCCCAGAGTTGGATGACAGTAGAACCTCTAAGCTGAAAGTACCTGCAGTTATTCAGTCCACTGATTCCCAAAGTTCAGCAAGCACCTGTATAACCTGAAGGGTTTTAATGTATACATTACTGGATTACTTTCCAGATTTTTTTTTTCTGTACCAGGGATTGAACTCGACCACTGACCCACATCCCAGCCCTGTTTTGTATTTTATTTAGAGACAGGGTCTCACTGAGTTACTTAGTGCCTCACTGTTACTGAGGCTGGCTTTGAACTCATAATCCTCCTGCCTCAGCCTCCCAAACTACTGGGATTTGACTAGCATGTGCCACCACATGGTTGGTTGGGCTACATTCCAGATTTGTGTTTTAATCCAGGAGTCTAGATGACTGAGAATTTGCATTTCTAACACATTCCAAGGCAATGGAGATGCTGTTGGTCTAGGGAACACACTTTGAAAACCTCTAATCTAGTTGAAATTACTGACTTAATAAATCCCATGCTTCTTCTCCACCTCTTGTGAAACCTGATTGTCCAGCTGAATTTGAAGGCCTCTGGTGGCAGCAGACACTCTCATGAAGCAGGATGTCCTAAGATCTTGGAGAACCCAGAAATAGCCAAGACCTGGAAGATGATACCAACCCTTTCCTCCTCCCCTAGACCTACTTTAAGAAGAAATATTACCTTAACTTTTTAAAATATCACAAAGGTTATTTCAAATCCTTCAAGATTTTTTTGTGCCTTCTAATTGTCTCCAGCAGAAATCAGGGCAGACATAGGACACTTGCCAGCCTGATTTGGGAAGGATCCACACTTAGGGTTATTGGCCATTTTATTAGGTGTGATCTGAATCATTCACCCCAAGAGGGCAACATTCAGGAAGAGGTCCCTTAGTTTATTGCTTCTTCTGAAGTAATAAAAAATGTGTTGATTTATAGAAAATGCTCCCCCAACCAAGTCAACTTCCAACACTTGTGAGGTTTGAAATTTTACTCTATTATAGGCTGAGGTAATTTTGTGAATTTTTATCATGCAAGAGTCTGCTGGATCAATTCTCTCTGTAATAGAGCAGAAAACTAGCAACATGGGGTTGCTGTCCTTAGGGCTTGTCTGAAGCTGTGAGTGCTATGAATGACTCTTTAGAAAATCATGGAGATTATTTTCCTGACCCGACCAATTACCAAAGAGGTTTGGGTTTTAACTACAAAAATGTGGGCTGCTCTTTTTCTGTCATGGGTTGAATAGTTTAACCATGCCAAACTGCCTCTTAAAGTGGGATCTGATCTGTTTTACCCACTAGCCCTTCCTACTTGGGAGTAAAAGACTGACATCTCTTTGACCCAAAATGAGGGTATGTTCTCATCCTTCTCTCAGTTATCTATACTAGTAGAATCCACAAATCTGACCAAAATATCATTGTTACCCAAGAAGTACAAACTCCTACCCTATCAAAACATTTGTCAACGCTGCTAAAAAACCAAATGGGAGGGATTTGAGTTTCACTTCCCCCTCTTTGCCTTAGAGGTGCTAACAAGCAAGCACATAGCTTAGCTATAGGCACAGAAAGGAGAAGCAAAGGTCTTATATCATCTAAAAAAAAAAAAAGGACTCCACCAGCAGGACATGTAGGCGGTGCACCAGCAGCTGCTCTGGCCCCAAGCAGAGCTCTCTCCAGGACACACCATTTTTCCTCTTGGTCCGGTTCATCAGTCAGGACTTGCACAGCCTGTTCTCTGAGCAGGCTTTTCCCTGGCTCAGGAAATGACAAGGCATGGAAGCTGAAGTCCTTCCCCTCAAGGGGCACAGGAGCCCAAAAGTGAGATACCCCCAAGGGAATGTGCTACAAATCACTCTCATCTGGGATTGCTAAATTGCATGCCACTCATAAGTGTTGTGCGAGTTCCCCTTATATGCCTTACTTGCATGAATTCTGGAACAATCATAATGCCCACAATGAGACATACAACAGAAAATAGTGCCTGATGGATTCTTGGTTTGCTCCTCTGATGACTGCTACAGAACAGGACTCGCTCCCCTTTGAAGTCTCCAGGTTGGGGAAGCCAACCCGAGGACCATTTCTGCTTCCATCACCAGGCTATGCTAATGTCCGCCACGCCTTCGGTTGCATCCTTTCCTTCTCTGCCTGGAAATTTATAAACATAAACCTGGCTTAGCCAGACATTCCCACTTGAGCTCTTTCTGACAACAGCTGTTGAAAATTTCCCTTGAACCCCTTTCTCATCATGTTCTTCTTCAACTATCTTTCATGCTTTCTTATTACCTCACATGAACCCAACCCTGCCACCTCACCCTTAAAATCCTCTCCCAACCGCCTGCCCCACTGTATCCCTGACCACATTTCCCATACTCTGGCCCCTACTCAACCTGTTCACAGGTGGTTTCTCTACCCAGTGCTTCTCTTTCTCTTTTCACCAATTCATTTCCTTCCATTCCTTCAAATAGTACAGTTTCTCCCTAATTGTTCCTATCAGACTCCCTCTCATTCCTCCCCTAACTTCTTTTTGACATAGCTTGGTTTATCCTACATTAATTGAAGCTTGTTTACAGATTGTCTCTGACTTCAAGAATTCTGTTTCTGTGGTCACACTGTCATTTCCACTAATGTGGTCAAAACCACAAGATTGGGTTCATAGATTCGTGGGCTCATAGATTCCGTTTCTTTTGACGTCCATTTTTCTCCTTCTTCACCAATACACGAAAATATGTATTCAACTAACCACTGCTTTCCATTTTAAAGTTTACAATGGACTTTCATTGACAGTCTATCCTATGATCTTTGTGGGGAAAAAAATAGGACAAATGGTTTATCCTCATTTTATAGTTCAGCAAGTATTGGCTCTGACAGTTAAAGGATTTGTCTCAAGTTTTACAGCAAAGAAGTAGAACTTCTGGGACCCAAACACAGGTCTTTGAATTCTAAGTTGCTTCCTGTCCCCATGTCATCTGCTCACTCTGAACATGTGTCATACTTGATAAATGTTGTTGATGGACTAATAATGTAGATAAATAAGGTAGCAGTGTCACAAGGCCACATTCAAATAGGGATTAAACATTTTGAAGCCATGCCCTGAGGATAAGGGTGAGAAGAAAGACACAAATGAGAATCAATCTTTTACTTCTGATTGACTTACAGTTTACACAGGAGAAAAAAAAAAGTATAAATCCTAAAAATTTTTTTAAATATTTTTAAAAGAGTAGGGTCTTCCCCAGAAGCTATGAGAAAAACACCTAAAGAACTCACTTGGGAACTTGTCCATATGGTGTTGCTTGGTCAGAGGTCAAACGGAAGCCTCCAGGTCAGCTGGCGGAGTCTGTCCGCTGCCCAGGCAGGAGTGGAGGCTGGGAATTTGAAGAATTGGGCTTTGGCTGTTCTGCTCCTCCATGCATGAACTTAGGCTAATCTAAGACCCCATGAAGTCCTGGGCTCCCATTTCTTATCTATCTAACAGAGGGGTTGAATGAGAAGGTCCCTCAGGTCTCCTCCGGCTGTGACATTCTGACAGTCTATGAATAGAAAGGACACAAGACAGGTGCGAGCTGATCACCACGTGGGAAGCTCACACCTGTCTCTCCCCAGTGTTTCCGCCCCTCACTTCCAGCAGTGCCAAGCTCCAGGCCCAGTCAGGGTCAAGTTGCCAATTTTGAAGCCGTTCAAGGACAGTTGTCCTTCTGCATGGGGCTCCTTCCAGTCCAAAGCTGGCCTCCTTTCCTCTCTGCAACTCGTTCTCCCTTAGGCTGCTAGAATTTGCATTGCCACTAATTCTTTTCTGCCTCTTTGCTTTTAGATTAAAATTACTCACAAGAACCAAGCACCCATGATGATGGGGCCTCCCCAGAAGAGCAGCTTCTTTTCACTGAGGAGGAAGAGCCGTTCAAAAGACTAAACAGTGTGCCAAACGCCAGCTAACCCAAGAGAGAAAACAAGAGACTGTAACTACATGCACACACACACACACACACTTACACAAACATGCGCACACACACAAACACACACACACTTCTCTAATTAGTGGAAGCAAAACCACCCTTCTGGAAGAAAACTTTACCTTCTATACAGTTTATTAAAAAAAATGGATACATTTCTAACAGAGCCAGTGCCCAGAACATTTTGAAAAGACTTAGGCCCACCAGGGTGGGTTGGCTCATGCAGCGACCTCCAAATTCCCACAGCCCTTGGGGAGAACTTTCTGAGACTGAAGGAGAAATCTCTTTCTTTTCACCAGCTCTACAAGTTTCCTCACAGTCGCTCGCTGCTCGTGAGGAGCAGGCTGCAGGTTTCCTGCTATGGTGAGATGAGATCGGATGTGGTCGAGGGAAAGAGCTCCGTTCCAGAGAACTTGCACAAAGGTCCTTCTGTACAGAGACACATCAGCCTCGCGCTCTCTGCACATAATCCTTGGCAGGGCTCAGCAGGCGCTCGATGGTCTCTTGGTTGTCCTTTGAGCGACAGCTTCTCCCCAGACTTGCTGAGAAGGCAGAAAGGCTGTGGAAAGCTGTGTTTCCATTCCTAGGTTCTCTACCCCATTGGTGGGCACTTGTTCATTTCCCCAAGCCTTCTCCTGGTGGCTGGGTGTTTGTTTAGAGACGGCTCCAAGAGCCCCCTGAGCTGCCTGTGCAGCGTGCCTTAGATGTGGTATTTATTTTCTTAGTTCTGTGAACACCTGGGAGGGAAAGTGGAGAAACTGGGATTTATTTTTTAAACTGGTGTCATAATATTGTGTAAAAAGGGAAAGAAAAAAAAAACACCCCCAGTTTCTTTTCTTCCTGAGCCAAAGCGTGTTTCCTGTTGAGTTCCAAGCCCTGGTGGTGGACTATTTCCCAAAGTCAGAGAAGATGAGAGGACAGGACTGTGCTGGGGACAGGAAGACAGTCCATCAGGCAGTTCCCATCACCTCTCCGCACTTCCCACCCTCAGATTCTGATCTGAAGGACCTTCTGATGGTCTTATGTGTGTATATATGTAGCATATATATTTATATATAACATATAAATATTTATTTACAGCTGGACTTTTTCTGATTGGAAATAAACACAGGTAATATGGGAATAGAAAGCGGGAAAGGAACCTTCCACCATTTCATTGTCAACACCTTTCCTCATGCTGATCATAATGTTTAAGGGAAATGGAAGGATGTCCTTATCGTGAAGAGAACTCTCCTGTTCTGGATCATCAAAACAGCCATGAAAGACATGCTGGGCAGGTTTACTCTCCCATTTGTGAGATAAGGAAATAGAGAAAAGTGAAGAGACAGCTCCATGGTCTCTTGGCTAATGTGTTTTGAGAGTAGGTGCCACTAAGAAGACAATTACTAGAGGAAAGAACTCACACAGCTGGGAATAGGGTCATTTCTGGTCTCTGAGAAGTGATTCCACTTGGATCCAGGGTGCCAGGGGAAAATGAGCATGCAGCATATGTTTGGATGGGACAACCCCAGGTGATAGATCGGGGCCTTGGTGTGCTTCAAAAGTTCTCTCTGACCTAACCTGAAGAGAAGTTGGTCTGAAGTTGAAGACATGAGACAGATCATCACATTGAACCCTCCACATATCTCCTCATCATGGTCACCAGAATCCCTTCATTTGGAAACACTTTGGCTGCAGGAAAAGTCACAAGCAGGACTGAGGCACCTTCTGCAAGGTGCTGCCAGCCAGGACAGAGGGGTGTCAGCAGAGCTCAGTGGGCTTCATTCACCTGGCTCCAGCATTACCTCCCCTTCCTAAGGGCAACTATGCAGCACTTCATCGGTGGAAAACAACAGTTCCTCTACCCATTAGCTCACTGGGACTTCCATTCTCTCAGATTTCTCAAGAGAAAACATGAGCTACTTGACATCATTCCAATGAGCTGCTTTTAATCTCCTTGCATTGGGCCAGGAGCTTTGGACAAGGAAGACAATATTAAGATTGTGTGCACAAATGGAGCCCACCTCTGAAGGAAGTAATCTTCTAGGACCATCTTGGACTGAGATATGAGACCATTCTGCTCAAATAACAGTGCAGAAATGCTGAGCAAGGGGAAGAGCAGGTCACCTGAAGAATATCCTTACTGATGGAATCCTATGTGGTGTGACCAACAAGCTCCAGAATGACTACAGGTACTATCTTGGAAGCAACTTGATTCTGAAAGTGAGGCAGGTTCAGGTTTAGGGTCATTGATTCTGAGACATTTACAGAAGTTTTTGTGTATGTTTCAGCCCTCATTCCCCAAGATTGAGGTGTTGAGACATGGCACCATCGACAGGTGAAATAGATTCTCAGAGTCTCACAAGTCACAAAGGGACCATGCAGAATTGGCTCCTACCTGCTTTACCCTAGTGCACAGGACTTTAATGTTGCTTGAGAGATGTACCCCAATCCTCCTTAGAGGCACAGAGTATAAAGAACTTGAGTGGAATTGCGCTTCTGATGTGGTAGCCTTAGCAAGTCTTGTGTTGCTGTTAAATCTTGCCTTGCAAATCATCTTTTAAACAACATGACTGGTTTCTTATTGTGGAGTAGTGCCTCATTGTAGCGACCCCCACAGAAAATTCCGAGGTTAGCAGAGAAGGTATTATTATCTCAATCCTAATGAGGAGAAGGGGGCTTGATGAGGTTTAGTGACTTCCAAAGCCATACAGGTAGTCAGGGAAGAGCCCAGTCTCTTATTTCTTGTCTTATTCTGATTCTTACCATGCTGCAGACATGTTCTCACCTGCCTTCATGCTTCCACCCCACTAGCAATAAAAACAGTGAAACAGGAAATCTTCAGTACTTTGTGTTATCCCTGGACCAGTGGGCTGGGAGCTGCGTCTCATTATGCCTTGGTCTTTGTGGGGTTTCCCCAGTGAATTGAAAGTGGAGGTAGACTTAGCAGGATGATTATATTCAGGTCAGAGACCAGTTCCTCTTAAGAGAGTTCTTTCCACAGATGGAAAAGATACGTTAAAATTGCCAAATAAATTAGGAAATACTTGGCAGAACCGGGAAGAGCCTCCAGACTGGCGTTACGTAACATGCATATACATTATACATATGCACATTATATAAGGTGACATAGTACTTAATGTGCTGTATATATTATGTAAATTACATATTTGTGAGTAATCATGATAAATATAGAGACCCACTAATCACTTTTTTACACATACTCAGTGACAGATTAGGAAGTTACTTTGCCAGAGAGGCTTAAAACTTACACTCTCCTGCTGCTTTGGTTCCAACTCCTGCCAAAAATAATTGCATCAACTTTTCCCATCTCTAGCCCCCTCTCTTCTTGGCCAAAATTCTCAGTTACCTCCTGTCCCAACGAGGCTGTGCCTTCCGTACAACACTGCCACAATCGGGATCCACAAAAATAGAATCCTGGGGAGGGGAAGTATCTAGATTCCCAGATTCCCTATGTCACAGACCTATACCTCAACACTCCCAGGCAGGTGGGTACCTGATGCTAACCCTAAGGGGAAGGAAGAAGAGCCTACCAACTCTCCAAGGAAGGAAAGATCCATATGAGCCACCAATTTCAGTATCCAACAGTAATCAGTCAGTCTAGCCTAAGATTGAAGTCATGTCAAACATCTAGTCTCAGTCCTTACAGTATATCTGAAACCATAATTTCCTAGAATGCATCTCAAAACTCTAGTATCCATAAAGTGTTCCATGAAGAAAGAGGTCTATGGTCGATACTAGATCCCTTCCAGGAGATACAGAGATGTTGAGAATTCACAGGAAAGACCAGGACATTCTTTGACTCTCAACATCTGTAGAGTAGAAAACACCACCATTTTTCACTGGTAGTGGTAGTAGTATTGTTAGTTATCAGTGGAAATGGGCACATGCAAGTATTTTTCCAGGACAAGAACTCTCCATCAAAGACACTGGGTATTTTGTGTTTGCTTGCTTGTTTGTTTGCTTGTTTAAGATGTTTATCACTACATTTCCAGGCTTGGTCTCCCACACTGGGAGTACAGGCAAGTGTCACTGCACCCAACTAAGACCTCTTCCTTGTTTTTTTTTAATATTTATTTATTTATGTATCTTTAGTTTTAGGTGGATACATTAATTTGTTTTTATGTGGTACCACGGATAGAACCCAGTGCCTCATACATGCTAGGCAAGCACTCTACCACTGAGCCACCACTCCAGCTTCTCTTCCTTGTTTTTTTTCTATGTGATTGTCTATATTTTTATTGTTCCTCTCTACACATCTTCAAGCAAGAATGATGAATCTGGATATTTTGTTCCTTAAATGGGGAAAAGACTGCAGAGAAGGGCAGAAGGTCGGGGGGAGGGGTGCATTAAAGGGGAAACATGACAACTGAGACATCTGTATAGCTCCAGAGAACAGAACCACATCTAAAGAATCCAGGTATAGAGGGTGAAATTTTGTTCCATTGAATGACTGCTCTTGGGGCTGGCTGAGGTGAAAGGTCTGCCTTTAAGTGGGAATGAGCAGCCACATGCTCTTACAGGAAAAGCCTTGACCTGATTGAGTGGGGAGCAAGCAGTAATTGTCCTAATCTTGCCCCAAAAGCTGTTGAAACTGTTTCTGTAGGTTAGGTCAGTGTTAAGTCTATTAATTCCTTTTAAATAGCAATCCTTGGTATCACCTGACTGAAATAATAAAAAAAAAAAATTAAGAGAGATTTCTAAATCAGTGGGTACTGACCAGTTAGACCAGGCTTATATATGGCAGGACTGACCAGACTCTGGTACCCTCAAGGGCAGCTGGTGATAGCTCTCCTTGACAGCTCTAAGAGTTGAAGAATGGATTATAGTATTAAGACAAAAAAAAAAGATTTTACATTCCTAATTGGAGATCCATATGAGCAGTTTGAAAGTCTTTTCCCCTCACAAATATAAGACCTAGATCAGACTTGCAATGGCAAGGAAAGAGAAATTCTCCCACACCTCAAATAGTAACCAAGTTTTAAGTAAAACTTGGATTGCACAATCACACAGACGTTCACTTGGAGCCATTGTTTTTAGTTCAACTTCATGTTCTGCCATATTGGAGAATGTATTTGGACATTTTGTTATAGAGATAAAACAGGAAAGGGAGATAAGAAAGGGAATTCCTGGGGTTGGGGATATAGCTCAGTTGGTAGAGTGCTTGCCTTGCATGCACAAGGCCCTGGGTTCTATCCTCAGCACCCCCCTCCCATTAAAAAAAAAAAAAAACAGAAAGGGAATTCCCATTCATTGCTTTCTAGGTGCCAGTTACTATGTCAAGGTCTTTTCATGTACTATCCCTTTTAATACTCAGAACAGCCTACTGTACTTATTTCATAGATAAAGGAATTAATGCATAGAAAGGGGAAATATCTTGTCCAACAGAGAGCAAGCAGTACAATCAGGACTTGACACATCTTTCTGGCATCAAAATCTATTCTTTTTCTACTATATTTTGGTGCCATTAACATTCTTATATAATTTTTCCAACCCTACTAACATCCTAGGTGAAGTTACGTGGCATAGACAATCTATATCCTATCTGTTCCACCTCTGTGGAGTCATCTAATCATCTTCCTACTGAAGAACTTCCAGTGCTTGTTCATATTTAAACTCAACAGCCTCCATAGACAGCTGGATCCCCAAACCTCACCCTTGCTATCCAGTTGGCAGCTATCCCTTAATCTTCAATGTCTTCAGGTTCTGCCAGAGTGGGACCTATTTCCCAGCACCTACCTAATACATGTTGTTGTTGTTGTTCAGCTCTGTGAGTGGGAGAACAGCCAACAGTCTTCTCTGGCTTAAATACCATGGCCAACAGTGACCAGCCAGCTTGGGGAAGGAGCTCTGGGTTGTTGAAGGGAGCCTCCAGCAAGGAGGCTTTGCATGTGATCCTCATTAGTGATAGGCGTGGGCTGGGCCATCTGTGTTCCACAGGAGAACAGAATGGGAGGCTGCCTTTCAGATGCCAAGAGATGCTATCTAATGGAAGATCCAGAGAGCTCAAAAAGCAGAGCAGCATCATTCCACATGGGCATCTCTGTGGGAACCAGGGACCCAGAAAACTTAAGAGGTATTGGGAATTACCTACTTAGCTTGCTGGGCATTCTACCCTTGCCACCATTTTGTCCTGCACCGTGGTGCAGGATGCCAAGCAGAGTCCTGCAGCCTCATCTGATAATTAAACTGCCTTAGAACCATGAGGCACCTAGATTGTCCTGAAGTCTGCAGATGTAACAGCAGGTGCTTTATAGCAAGGCATTAGAGTTTACCATTAAGCCATCTCCCAGGGGTCAGGAAACACTGCAGATAGAAAAGACTGTTTCATTGAATGTTAATTGGAGAATCTAGAAGAATAAACAGAAACTATGAAGGACTATTACAAATGGGTCAAATTAGAAAAATGCAATTTGGAAGCAAAAGAGGATAACATCTAGCCCAGAATCAAGCATGTAGTAGGTAGCAAGTAAATATTTGCTAAAGGACCAAATGAATGAATAGCTAAAGCAGGTATCTGTCCTTCCACCCTGAATGGGGGGGGGGGGCAGGGGGATGAAAGCTTTTAAGTAACAACTCAGGAACTTGAAACCACAGGATGTAGAGGGAGCTCACGGGGGCCTTTACCCAGACATCTGTTGAGTGATGGATACAGCTAAATATGGATCATCAAAGGGCTTTCTAGGTCACATGGAGGGCAGCTTCATGATTCAGAAAATATGAAATTCAGCTTATACCGAAAGGCAGAAATATTTGCCTTCCACTTCTTACAGATCAGGTCGGAAATGACAAAGAGAAAAAGGGCAGTACAGAAGTGGAGTAGCAACACAGTAAGAGATCAGCATAATAAGGTACAGATTCATGAGATGAAAAGAGAGAGAGCACTGGATGGTTTAGAAGATTGATTTGGACAAGGAGGGTGAACATGAGCACTACGTCCAAAATTGCCGGGCGGGCGGGAAGGACTGAGAAATCCAAAAGAAAGATCTTACAGTTGAGCTGATGGCAAAACAGAAACATCCAGGTATTCATGAAATTGTTATTAAATAACAGCTATCATTTAGTATCTAGTTAAAGTCCATTCCTTTTATAACCACTGTGGAACTTCACAAGAACCTTGTGAAGTTGGTTGGTGCTATATGGCTCCCTATTTGACAAGGGAGGACACAGAGAGAAACAGGGCACATCTCATAGTAGCAGATTCAGATCTGTCAGTAGCTGTCTTCAAAGCCTGTGTTGGTGCCTGCGGTGCCATTAATGATTCCCCTGAGCTTCAAGCACCGTGACAGGTTTACGACCCCAAAACCATAACCCTGTGTGTGGCTTACTTTCTCTCAAACTTGACACCCAAGTCCCTCTCTTCCCTCTTCCATGGACCTGGAGAGGAAAAAATAGCACTCTTGTGAGTGGATGCAGGGGCACCCAGGAGCAGGAGAAAAGCAGTTATGGGCATCAGAAGGCCCATGTGCACCTTCTCTCCTCCCTTCCTCTTAGGTCCTCACTCCCAGATACCAACTGGAGTGTGTCCTAAGACTACTCAGAGAAGAAATGGCCAAGAATGGATACCCAGTGAAGAATTCATCTGGATCAAGTATTCACACAGCATTAAAGATTCACGGAGATGTAGTAAAGATCAAGGGCAATGAAAAGAGTTCAGGCAGTCAGACATTAGAATTCAGTAACTGATATCTAAAGGTGGAATGAAGATTTGAAGTGTCCTTTTACAAATCTGTTGGGTGAGTCATGATTTGGGATTAAAAAAAGACTGCCTCTGGAGCAATGCGAAAAATTGAACATTTTTTCCTCTCGAAACAAATGAAATTCTTTTAAAAATGGAGGCTTAGGAAGAATGACAAAAGGAGGGATGATAAAAATGGTAATTTCTTTTTACCTTAGATAATAGAAAAGGAATTTTAAAACCCTAAATAAATAAATGGCAATCCAGAAGAAATTTCCAGAAAGTCTACATTTTCTGTTGAGGGGCTGGCTACACAATAGTACCTGCCAAGTGATTAATGAACTTTTTTTTTGTCTTTTTTTATTTTTTAAAGAAAACTGATACCACCAATCATTAGCCAAAATATGACATGATCTTCAAGAAAAGTTTTCCTGGTGAATATTTCCTCTCTCCCCAACATCCCTGAGGTAAAAGGATTGAGCACTAGATCTTTTAACTCAGAGGACCAAATTTTCATGAGGTGTTAATAATAGAGGGTGTCACTGACCTGCTATTTGGGATTCACTACCTTTATACCCTTCTGCTCCTAGGCATTAAGGTAATCTTCATCAACCTTCACCCCCACATCTACTCCCTGACTGCCTCTTAACAGCTCTACAGGCTGAACATACGCCTTGGAACTGGAACATCTGGAAATAATTTCTTTTTTATGAACAAGTTCAAATATACTAAAAAGTAGAACCTTGAGTATGTACCCATCATTTAGATTTAACAATTATTAACATTTGCCATACCTATTTCATCTTTTATTTTTTTCTGACTGAAAATTTTGAAGGTAAATGATAGGTATCATGACATCTCACACCAAAATATTCCAGCATGCCTCACCATGAGAGATTCTTCCCTTTTTAAAGTAATTTTTATGAGTTCATTTTAGTTATAAATAATATTAGAGTTCATTTTCACATAATTAATGCAAGCCATGGAATATAATTTGTTCCACTTCAGTCCCCAATACTTTGCCTTTTCCTTCCCTCCTCCCTTCCTCTCTTCCTTTCCTCTATTCTAGTGATTTTTCTTCTATTTATTTATGTCTTTTTAAATTAGTGCATTATGGATATACATAAAGGTGTAATTCACCTTGGTGTTTTCATATTTGTACACAGGGAAGTTTGGTCAGATTTATTCCTCCATTCCTCATGGGTGGGGAAGATCCTTTCTTAAGCTTTAAAAGATTGTACGTATCATCCGTGTTGCTAGAGGAGAATTCAAGGTGTTGTGCATATGAGCTCAGTTATTTCCCAACTGACGGAATCAAGTTGGGAATGAAATAAATAGATATTGATCAAGGTATCACCCAATCATTCATGAGGAGAAAGTTTTGAGTGGAACCCAAGGAAGATCTTAGCTGTATTCAAAATAGTCCTGGTTGAGCTGGAAAGAGGAAAGTAAATGGCATATTCACTAAATTCTCAAAAATCATTAGACAATGTTATAAGCATTAATCATGCCAAGAGAAAAATGTGAAATACTTAAAGGCATTACAAATTCACCTGAAAAAAATCACGTTCTTATTTCTGAAACAAAAATTGCTTACAGTGTTAGGTACTGAGTGACTGGGCACCATATTATTTTGAAAAGCTTAGAACAATAGAACATCATATCTACAGGTTCATTTATTCATATAAAACACAGATAGTTATCACCTCATCATGTGAAGATTATGAAACTAGACTGGGGGAGGGAGTCGGCTGCTGAGATATACAGACAGATCCTCCCCCTCCGCTGGGGCACAGCTGAACTAGAAGTATATCAACCCCCGAGAGAATGTCTGGGAAGCCTAGTTGAAAAGTCTTGGCTCATTTATGCAGAGATGATTTTCAATACACAAAGTATAAGCCATGCTTGCCCCAGGGACGAGAGTGAGCTGACTGCAGGTGTTCTGGACAAGATAGTGGGTAAGGTGGTTGGTTAATTTGTTCTCAGAGATCCAATGGCTTAGTGATTCTGCCCATGAAAGGGAAGCAGGTGACACCAGTGACAGTAGGTTCCAAAATGTTCAGCCTGCCTCGGTCAATAAATGAAATAAAAGTTTCCCATTTGAGCATAGCCTAGATAGCACCATCAACTGGAGACCAAGACCTGATACTCAATCAAAGCCTGACTCTCAGCCTGTGAATGGTGGACCTCACTAGGCTCATCTGATTCCTCAAATATAAGGAGGAAACCTTTCTCATCCATACCCCAAGTGCACATCTGCATTCCTTTTCTCATTAAATACCCCACCTCTCCCACGGCTGCCCCCACACCATGGGATTCATGAGATCCAGCAATGTCTTTGCTTTCCTCACATGGACACCATGAGGAATGAAAGTCTACATTGACTGGCACAGAGAGGAAAATCGCTTTCATTATCCTGAGTGTGATAACATGTTTTCTTCCCAGAGTACCCCCTCTTCATAAGAACACATCTCTTCTAAGCTCCCACCTCCTATCTAACCCCTGCCCCTGAAGCTCAGGATCTGCTGATGGGCATGAAAACACATGAGCTCACTGGAGCTTATATAAGAGCTCTTGGCAGGTCTTCCCGAGACGGATGGCAGGCTGGGTCTCCACACACTTGCATTTGCCTTGCTTAGGCAGTGTGATTCTTTTTTTTTTTTTTCTCTCTCTCTCTATCTGTTTAGAACAGAGAGGCCTATTTGCACCCTTGCTAATCAGTCATTTTGTAGCAGGAAGGAGAAAGCACAGTGTTTTCTCCTATTTCCCAGTGATTCCATTGGGCACAACTTCCTGAGGGGGAAATTGGGAACTCAAAACACAAAATTCATTTGAATGTGTCAAGCCCCCACCTTTAGTCAGCTGTTGTCCGTTACAGGGCCATCCCTTTTGGGGTCACTGCAGAGAAGCAATGAGAGAAAAGAGGGGGAAACGGGGAGCCTGAAGGCCAAGGCTCCTTAGCATCTCAGAGGACTCCAGCTCCAGGGTCCTTTCCAAGATGTCTGTCAGCAGGACTAAGGCAAAGGGAAAAGCAAAATAGATGGGAATTTCAGTCTTTCCACAGAGGAAGAAATGTCTCAAAGGCAGGTTCTCTGCAGGAAATGGATCCTGCCTCCAGTTGATTTGGTGAGAATTCCCATCCATTCCCAAACTACATTTTCTTGAAGGAGGAAAGAAACTTCTGGAAACTACTCAGGAAACTCAGAGAGGTGCAGAATGAGAGAAAGCAAGGTATCCATGAGCCAACCTCCAAATTCAGTGGATATTTTCACAAGGCCTCCAAGAAGAGAAGGAGAAGTTTTGTGTCAGGATTTGACTCTTCTGCCACTGGAGAAAGGAAAGGAAGCAGGAAGACCTTGAGGCCCTGTTCAGTGCTGTATGACCCACTCAGTTACCTTGGGCCTAGCAGCCCTGCCGCTCTGTCAAGGAGGACACAAGGTCACAGCCTTCACCCTTTCTCCTTCCTCAGTTTCACAGCTGTGTTCCGAGGCACTTCCCACCCACAGCAGTGGGTGGGGAAACCTGTCCTTCTCCCTCTGCTCAGCATTGAGCAGTAGGGCCAACTCTAGTTTCTATAATGACACCAATTAACAATAGGGACTTGGGCCACTAAGACTATATTGTGCTTTTTCCATATGTAGAATGAGGCTGGATAGAATGATTCACGCATGCACTCATTGATTCATCAACAAATAATTTGTTTTTAAACAATGTTTATTTGCCAGGCACTGTGCCCTAATCTCTTAACATGTCTCATCTCTTCTCTATCTTTTCCTACCCTTACCCACCCTGAAAAATGATTTCTTCCACTTTTCCTTTTATTTTCATGATGTTTCTCTTCACTCTTCGTAGCCCCCATGATTTTTGTCTGTTTGTGTAGAGTGTTCATACAAAACAAAACAAAACAAAAATCCAGAAGATCAGAAGGGATTTTAAAGAAACATCTGCCCACTTTGCTACCTCCAGCATACCTGTGCTTAAAAGGCCCAGGAAAGATCAGAGGACACACTCCAGAGCCCAGCTTCAGGCTGTATCTCACAGCTTCTCCCATAGACAGCTGTCCTCAGTGTCCAACTGAAATCCCTCTGTTCACTACTATGCTCCTTCTCTACCTCTTGAGTCACATCACAGGCATAGGGTACTTTATGGGTACAGCATGGTTGGAAATTTTAATGACATAGTTGAATATCTCATACCACGAGGATATTAGTATAAAAATAATAGACTCAGTGTGTTTGGTTTCTGTAAAATAACAAAACAAATGAAAGCTCATTAGTAGAGCCCTGCTGCAGTCACAGTTTCTAACAGACCATCTCAATTAAGGTGAAAAGTCCAATGATCAGGGAGTTCTGGAATCTGTCCCCTAGGGTTGGAAAGGCCCTTACTTACATATCAGTCCAACCTTCACATGGATTTGGTAGCCAGCACAGCGTAAGGCCTGCTCTTTGTTGATTGTAGTTGCATGACAAGTGCTCACTTGGCCCTTGTTCCTGCATAATACAGAGAATTACTCTCCAAAGCCATTTCCCCAGGCCCCTGGGTAGGAATCGAGTGAAGTGTATGCCTGGACAGAGCCTGATGCTCCAGATGTTGTCCTTTTTGATCAGTGCCAACCTGCCAAGGTAGTCTACAGTCTCTAGAGAGACAGTGTGACCTAGTGTGTCAGTTACCCAATAAAAAGTCTGACTTCAAAATCTACAGCATTGTGTTTCTTTCTTCTCCAGATGGCAAGAAGCTGGTGACCCAGCTACAGAGAAGAGGCTTCACAGCAAGTTGCTGACCCAGCTTCCAGCACAGCTGTCCTCCTCCATAGAATGGGAAGAAGTAACCTTTTATGCTTCTCTGTGCCATTGACCTTAAGGCTTGGTGGGTATCTCAGGGAAAGAGTTCTTGTTGGCAAATAACACAATTCTGAGAAGCCTGCTTACAGTGTTCTGATGGGTGCTTTTCTCTCTCTGCAGAAAACAAGTGAGAGAGAGCCTTCTATCTTGGAAAAGTTGGGCAAATGCTCCATGGAGGTTGTTGGGGAAAGGAGCCAATCCACGTCCCATGAGGGGATGAGGGGTGAAGCCCTGCCTAGAAAAACAAGAGCAACATGGGGAGTGGGCTACAGTCCTGTCTCAGCCTTGTGGTCTTGGACATGACCTTTAGCCTTCTGGGACCTCTCTTTCTACCACCTATTAAGTGAGGGAGCTCTAAAGACCATCCTGCATCAGTGATTTTGCCTCCCCCTGGGGTAAATGCTGCAGCCATAGGAGATAAGGCAGGTTCCTTGTCCTCTTGGGTTTCCAACTAGACCCAAGGCTTCCCCCAGCCCTGCTGACACTGAAGGGCTCCTCCTAGCTCCTCAGCCAAGAATCGACTTTCTTTTCCTCTCGACAATCGATTATATTTGGAAACCAGTTCATTTGGGAGGCCCATCATGAAACACCACAAAGAAACTCTTTAGTAAGCCCTCCACCTATACACACAGACACACACACACACACACACACACACACACCAAACCCTGAAATGTAAGTGTTTTCCCTTCTGTGTACCAAACTTCTTTTGGCCCTTTCTACTTGCCAACAAGTTGGGAGAGAGTTCAATCCCACAAGGAAACACATTGCTCCCATTAGGGAACTCACAAATCCCACATGTTTGGGGGTGACCCTGGGCACAGGCTGAAGCTAAAGATCCTAACACACTTCAACTGCAATCTATAAATGCAGACTTTACCAGCCAAGACTGCAGCAGAAACTAATTAGCACAGTGCCAGGGTCCTTCCCTCCCTGCTCTCCCACCTCCACTGCCTCCCCCACCATGGACTTGTTGTTCCCTAACAGCGGTTGCCTGCTCAAGCCTGCCTGTCTGCCTGCACAGAGTGCTGTGGACTTGTTCTGTAATGCACTGTGTGCGTGTGTGTGTGTGTGTGTGTGTGTGTCCTGACTCTGTGGTTTACTGCAAATAAAAATGACAGCAGATGACTGGCCCCTGACCTCCTGATGGTTTCTTTCCATGTCATTACTTGAGAAACCAGGATTGGCTGATCTGTTACAGAACTCTGGGGATGTGCATGCCTGCCCGGACTCTTCTGTAACCTTTTCACAGTTGCACACTGCCAGGAAGGTACCTCTGATATGCCATGGCTGAGAGGAATTGAAATTCTCGTTGCCACTTTCTTGGTGTTGAAGGAGAGAGAAAGGAAGCCAAAAACCCTATTTAATAAGCCCCGCTAAACACTTTATATACGTCATCACATTGACATCTGAAAACTCCCTTGTGAAGTGGTGAGCATTTTATAGATGGTGAAACAGAAGTTCAAAAACGATGATTAACTTGCTCAGCAAGTAACACAAGTAACCCAGTTTTCTCTCATACCCCCAAATTCAAGGTCTTTCCTCAAAACTAGTGTTTCTCCAAGTGTGGCCCATGGACTGCTTAAATCAGAAATACCTGGGCTCCAGATTCCTGCGTCCCACCCAGACCTTCTGAGGCATGACATCTAAGAGTGGGACTCTGAAACCTGATATTTTATAAGCTGGGGCTCCAGATGGACATTGTGCCTATGGAAGTTGGCACCCACTGCACCATGCACTGCTGGAGGCAGGACCGTTCTCAGAGGACCAAGATAAGTCCCAGCTTTGGAGTAGCTCAGAACCTAGAGTTTACCCACAAGTGCCTGTAGGCAGAAGAGGTCCGGTGAGGAAGCAGGTCTGGAATGAAAAGAGAGAATGGGAAGCCAGGCAGGCTATGGGCTTTACTTCAGAGTTGGCTGGGCCCTCACCCCAGAATTCAGACCCAGGAGCAAATCCACCCACTAGTCTACAGGCTGCGGTTGTCCTGAGCCAAGGGTTCAAAGTCTCACCTGGGTAGGGCTGGACAAGGAGGAGTGGGCTCCACACAGCAGCCTCAGGGGCTGGGCCTGCTGTGGGTAGCCAGCCTTGGAGGATAACCATGGTTGCAGTGCTGTTGGCCAGTCTCCTGGATCTGAAGAGCCATTACTGTTGTCTCTCCAAGCTCTTTCTACCACAATTGACCAACAAGGCTCCAGAGGCCTCAGAACTCATGCCCTGAATCCTCAGACTCCTCCATATCCTTGCTGTCCTTTTTAGAGCTGGGCAAAGACTCTGACCTCAGGGAAGCTGACCAAGATGTTGTTACTCTTTTCTGCCCATTTTCCCCTCCTTCCACCTGGATCTGCCAAGTTTTATTTTGACTAGGTGGAAGTTTCTGAAATGATGGTTGGGAAGTCCAAGGTGGGGCACTGTGAAACACATCCATAATTGCTACATGGGGCAGAAAAAAATACTAGAAATAGCTCAGCTACCCACTCATCTGCAGAGATCCAGCGAGCTTCACACTCGTCCTGCTGCAACACTAACTATGCATGAAAAATATTTCTTTCTGGAAAATGGTTTTTCTTGTGTCAAGAAATCAAGAAAACACCTCTTGTTCAGAATAGGCTATCACCAAATCAGCAAAACACTTAGGACGGTAAAAAGTAGTTCACGATAGAGAATTCTTAGAGTGAGATTTTTCTTGAATCTCTGTAGCTAACAAAAGAATTATGTAAACAAGGAAAATGTCAGTCCATTCAAAAGCAAAAGCCTTTAGTGGTTGTGTTTGCATTTTGAACTATAGCTAAGAATAAATGATGCCTATTCATTCGCTGTAGTATTTACAGGAGTCTCCAACTCATATGATCGTGTTCCTGCTCCATCCCCCACTGAACAGGTTACCGTGCACCCTTTGGAGTAACAAAACTGCCTTTGTTTTTAATGTTCCTCCCTCCTACTTTTCATTAACCAGACTATCAATTATTACGGAAATATTTCTGAATCTAAAACCCCAAAGTAATTCACAGAGGGAGCAGAAAGTCAACAAAGGCATCAGAAAAGGAGAGGGAAGCAGATCAGAAAGAAAGATCAGAGAGATCAGAAGAACATTGAGGTCTTCGAATTGGAAGGATCACTTGATCCAACTTCTTACCCAAAACAGAACTCCTGTAAACAGCCCCTTGTCCCATACATAGCCCCTGTGCTTGAAGACTTCCACCATGGGTGACTTGCTACCTTCTCAGGAAGTTCACTTAGGAGCAGCTCTCTGAGCTTTAGGTAGGCTCCTATTGCACCCAAACCTACCTCCCAGAAATTTCCACCATTAGGTCCTGGCTTGGCCATTTGCAACAGAGAAGAAACTTCTCTTGTGCAGAACAGCCTTCAGATATTTAGAAAGAGCTACCTTGTCCTAGCTAAGACTTTTTACTTTTTTTCCTCCAGACTAAACATCCTCCATATCCTTAAATCATTTCTTATATGTTATAACTCTCAAATCCTAAGCTACTCTCGCAACTTTCTCTGGAACAACAACAGTTTGCCAACGTCCCTCTTAAAATGAGATTCCCAGAATTGAACATAACACAGTGCCCCAGAAACAGATGGATAATTACAGAGCCATATCCCTTGCTCTAGATACTACATTAGCTTTCTTTAGCAACCATATCACCCTGTTAATTCATCTTGTTCTCACATTTGACAAAAATCTTCTATACTCTTATGAATGACAATAACTACCACTGCTGTCTTAGTCAGTTTTCTGTTGCTATAACAAAATTCCTGAGGCTGGATACTTATAAAGAAAAGAGATTTATTTACCTTGCAATTCTGGAGGTTCAAGAACATGGCACTGGCTACTGCTAGGCTCTGGTGAGGGTCTTATGGCAAATGGCATCACAATGGTAGGAATGTGTATGGAAAACATTTCATAGTGAGACAGGTTGTCAGAGAGATCTGAGGGATCAAACTTGCTCTTTTATAATAATTCACTTTTGTGGGAACTAATCAGGGTCTCATGAAAGCTACCTTAATCTCTTCCAAGGGCAACACCCCCAATGACCTAACCACCTCCCATTAGACTCCACCTTTTAAAGGTCCACAATCTCTATACCACACACTGAAGACCAAACAACACCTGAAACCTTGGGGCACAGACTACATTCCAACCATAGCAATTGCTATGATGCTTCCAGATGACAAAGTCCTTTCAGAAGCATGCTCTCCTTTGCTCTTCACAACCACCCAGTGGGGCTGATTAAAAATGAAGGAACAGGGCTGGGGTTGTGGCTCAGCGTTAGAGGGCTCGCCTAGCACATGTGAGGCTCTGGGTTCGATCCTTAGCACCACATGAAAATAAACAAATAAAATAAATGTATTGTGTCCAACTACAACTAAAAAATAAATATTAAAAAAAATGAAGGAACTAAGCCTGGCATGGTGGCACATGGCTGTAATCCCAGCAGCTTGCAAGGCTGAGGCAGGAGAATTGCAAGTTTAAAGCTAGCCTGGACAACTTAGCGAGAACCCTTCTCAAAATAAAAATGAAAATGGGCTGGGGATGTGACTCAGTGATTAAGCACACCTGGGTTCAAACCAGGTACAAAAAAAAAAAGAAGGAACTAAGGTTTTTCCAAGGTCACACAATCAGGCCTCAGCCCTGAACCTGCAATTCCAAGTACTCCTCCAAACACACCCATGCTGCCTTTTCACTTAAAGTACTATTTGACCAGAAAGTTCTCCCTGGTTTCATTTCTTAAGTGTCTATTTAAATTTGTTTTTATGTTCTATTTTGTTTTGTTGATATCTGCTCATCCTTTAATCTGTCAATGTCTTTTTGATTTCCATTTCTGTTACCAGAAAAGACACTGGGTCAGAGAGAGCCAACAGCAGAAGAGGAATAGATACCAAGCAAGAGGAGCTGCTGGGAGGGAGGAGTGGGGAAAAGAGCATCTCAGACAAGAACAGGCAATGTGGTGTGGAAATGCACGTGGAATGAGGGGATCTGGAGGAGGGGATCTAGGCTGTCTGCTTTGGTTGACTCTGCTACCCTAGGCAAGCCCAGAGCAGGTATCCGAGTAGAACTACTCAAATCCCAAGACCCTTCCTAGTTCCATGAATCTAATAGCCTTACCATTAATTCAAAGTTCTCTTTTAATCCACTAAAGATATTGAAAAGTAGACTTCACTAGATATTTAATATGACTTTCTTTTGCTAAAACAAGGAAAAGTAAGGATGGCTAGCAACCATGGCAACAAGCAACAATTATTACAACTGATTGCCAGACCTAGTTTTCTTTTTTCTTTTTTTCCCCTTTTCTTTCTCTTTCTTTCTTCCTTTTTTTTGGGGGGAGGGGTTACAAAAATAACCTGTGAAGATGTAGAACCCAGAAGGTCAAAAATCCTCAAAGAGGCTAAACAAGGAGTTCTCCAGCCATGTCACCTTCTCCACAGCATCAGAGAAGTGAGGCTCTCACAGTGAACAACCCTCCTAACAGTGGCCACTTAGGTGATGTGTGGAGGGAGAGAAGCTCCTGCACATCAAGCATTTCTTATGTGTCTCCCTGGGGAGGTCACAGGACAAACATTTTTGAATCATTTCATTAACATGGGAAATATCCCATATTTTTATTTTTCTGAAGCAATACATTCAATAGAAATACAATGCAAATCCCAAGTTCAAATTTTCTAGTAGCCACATACAAAGAGTAAAAAAGAACAGAAGAAATTAATTTAAGTAAAATATTTTTAAACTCAACATAGTCCAAACACTATCATTTCAACATGTAATCAACGTAAAATATTATTACTGAGATTCTTCCCATTTTTCGGGGTGTACTAGGTCTTCAGAATCCAGCATGGAGTTTACACTTGCAGCACTGGCCTATGGTTAGCAGCTCCTGTATTGAACAGGGATCACGTAGAGGTGATCCCATAGCAGCTGCTGCTTCCTATCATAGCACTTCTCAAACTACATTGTAATTGCCTCTTTCATGGTCTGCATTTTCCAACAGATTGGGTGCCCTGGGAACACAGGGACTGTGGAGTTAACTGGTGTGTTCCTCAACTTGAGCTTAGCTTGACATGGATGTCATAGGCCTTTGATGAACATTTGACTAGGAAGTAAGGAAGGGAGGAATACCAGGTAACATACATTATCAGT